TTTCTCAGGGCTAGCAAGTCTTGTACACACCGTGTTTCCACTTAGCTGTTCAATAGGCTCTGACTTGGAGTTAAGTGATTCCTTATTTCAAATACCTGATGAAGTATAAACCACATACTTTATTATTGAGAGCTTTGTTTCCAGAGGCCATTCTGTCTAAGGCTGCCACAGCTTGTTTTTCATGACTATACTATTTCCTTGACCATCCTTATCTATGTAGCTAACGAGCAAAGTCGTGCCTTGAGCTACGTCTGCAAGTGAAGCTCTGGATGGGAGATAACTCCTCTCTGACATGATAACTGTAAATTGGACTCACTCACTCTTGGACAGCCAGGCTTTAATGTCTCTTTTGAAGAGGCATGCTGGACTGGAGATGAGTGTCTTTCTGAGCATTAGCCAGTTAGCTAAAAGAATAGGAGCTGCATCAACTGATGGTCTCTCTGCTGTTGAGGGGCTGGGTGTATATCCAAGGAGATGTACAAGCTCTGCTTCTGCTCTCAGAAGTCTCCGAAGGCATTACGAAAGATCAGTAACCTTGCATTTTCACCCAGGCACATAGGCAGCTGTTGTATGTGGAAAATAGCTGCAGCCATGTCTGAAATCACCACAGAATGAGTTTTCTCAAGAAGTTGCCATCGTTGGAAGTTCAGATCCGACCCAAATCCAGTCCCTACATGAGCAGAGTGCAATCATATGTGAAATCAATTTGATGGCCCCTTCTGGTTCATGATCTCTGGTTACTAAAAACAAGGCAACTTCTTTCTGAAGGGGAAAGAGGCAATCCTGAAGCTGTCATTACAATTTATGAAGAGCTACAGGCTGGATTCTAGATTAGCTGCAAGAGGTAAATTGTCCTGATTTAAAGTTATGTTATTTATAGCTCTAATTAACTAATTTTCCACTTTTAGTTAGTTAGCTAGTTTGCTAATGAACAGCTATGTTGAATTTCCTGTTTGTATATATTGTGATTAGGTATTTCCTTAAACTTTTCTTCATTGCCTTGGAAACTGAAATCATTGCCTTGAAAACTGAAATCATTGCCTTACAAAAGGCTGAGAGGAGCTTAGGCTGTTTAGTTCGCTCTCCCTTCCTCTGAGCCCCCTCACCTTTTTTTTTCATTTGATCTGCACACACAAACTCCTGAAAGGCTCCCAAATGTGGTTGTACCAGCGTCAACCACTATTGCTTCGTGCTTGCCTGGGAAAAGAAGGGCTGCCTGAAATAGGTGATGCTCCATGTATCCATAATCATCCATGCCTTGGGAGCTGAGGTATTTCAGGGATCTAGCACTTGCTGAAACTCATTTTCTTCATTCTCGGTTCATCTTTTAGTTCCTCATCCTGCTCATTCAAAACTGAAAGGCAAGCTATGATGACTGGCAAGGTAACTTCTTCCTGACTAAGCTTGAAGTATGCCAACATCAAAATATAATTGGCAAAACTATTTTTGCAGCCATAATGTTTTCCTTAAAGCTTCCCTTTATCTAATCTCAGAAGAAGAAAGAAAAAAAAAAAGGCGAAGGAAAAAAAAAAGGGCAAAAAAAAAAAAAGCTCTCAAGATTACTTGTGGAGCGCTCTTCCAGAAGAGTCGGAAGACCCTAAGTGTTCCTCATACAGACGCCCGTTTTGCCAGGTAACCCAGTGATGAGCCCTCCTCTGTGCCCAGTGAATTTGAAGCTGTATGTTGTGCATTAACTGAGGGACTGTGAAATCTCTAGAAGGTATCTCAGACTAAACATAAAAAATGGATTTACATTTGAATGAAGTGAGATTTCTTTTTTTTTTTTTTTTTTTTAAAAACCCATACTTAAGCTGGCCAGTTATGCTTCTGTATTGTTTGAATGCAGTAAAACTTAAGAACAGAAAACACAGACTACTATAAAATTCCACGACTGCTACCTGGCTTTCCATATGTGTTTGGATTTTTCCCGTGGTATGCATAAAACATGTCTCAATAGTTGTATTTTCTGTCAGTCAAATCCTGCATGGACTTTTCAAGGCGGTTTTCTCCAGATGTTTGGTTAAGAGTTTGGGAGGTCCTTGTGTTCTCCTTCAAAGACTGTACTGCTTTAGACTAATGTGGTGTTAGATAGTGTCCTTTTCACAAACACCAAGAGAGTTTAGATGCTTCTGAATTACAGAAGAATGTAATCCATCAGTACGTACTTTTCTGATAGTGTGGGGAAAAAGAAAACTAACTATAAATGCAGTGAAACAAAAGCTGTAGTCTTGACCCAACCGAGTTTTGCCAGGGACAGTTTAGGACTGGGCAGCTACCTCAGGTGCCTATTTCAAGTGACCTGTCTGTTACAAGTAACCCTGCCGTGCTAGCATCATCTTTCATTTGACTCCTGAGCAATTTTGTTCCAGTTTTGTGTCTTAGTTACACTGGCCTTTAGCTTGGCTGCAAAGCTAGAGTCTCTCAAGTTCTTTGAAACTTTTTCAGATAAATCTCTTTCTCCATGCTTGCCAGCACTGTCTGAGTAGCTACTTCAAGAAGACCCAAATCTGAGATTGTACGGTGACTGGTGCGCTCTTGCAGAGCAACCGGCCAACACCCTACGGCAGCAGTGCCAGTTCGCCCACACCCGCACCTACCCTCCCCTAAGGCTAAGGCTGCGGGGGTACCTGAGAGGTATTCTTACTCCAGCTGGCTCTCCAGTATTTCTGCTGCAAGTCACGTCTGTGGCCTGTGTAGAGTAGGGTTAATATTGGCGTTACTTTAAGTATAAGAATTTCACAGTTGACTTTAACATGGGGGGTGTCCCCCTTCATAGGTACCTTTCATGTTTTTTCTGTCACCGTCGTGCCTGGCTGATTATTTTTAAAACCTTTAAAAATCTTAATCATAGTAAAGATTTGAAGTATTTTCTTCCTTTTTGCTGGAATTCTTTTCTGCAGTTTCCAGGGACAGAGGTTCAAAGAGCTGTCTGCTCTGAACTCATGTGATGATTTAATAAAAATTTAAAAAAAAAAAAAATTAAAACCTGTCTTTTTAATAAGCAAAAATAATGTTACTCAGATTTGACTTAGGGATTGAACAATTTGAACAGTAGTAGTAGTAAAACGTATTTAAGAGCTTTTCTGGAGTGGGCTCAGGATGCTCAGCACTTGGTAGAACTGAGCTGGAAAATCAATACTGTGCTATTTTATATTCATATACTACAGAGATGCAGTTCAAAGTCATCCAAGTCATGCAGCCTGCTGTTAACCATGGAACTTCTTTACGATGTCTTAGGAGTGTGTCTTTTATTGCAAGTCCTTAGTAGGCATACGGAACAACAGGTTTAGTGATTGTTTTTGTAATGATTAAAACACTTTAGCTTGTACTGCCTTGAATATAAAGAATACCTTGTAGACTGTGACAGAGATGCATAACTGAAGGGTTCCAAAGCCTGGCATGTCGGTGACTGAGAGGGGCAGGTGTTACATACCCAAGGATTGCCATGTGTTTTGGGTTTCTGCAGTCACATCATGTGCATACTAGGCTATGGGAAACTTGGTCAGAAGTTCTGTGTCACATCAGAAAATAGCTTTTTGCCCATTCATTTCCAGGTGGAACATCTGTCGTGCAGCACAAGGTCAACATGTGAAAGCAGGATCACAGGTGGTTCACTTTGCATTAATAATTCCATCACTAAAAATCTTGACTTTGTGCTAGTACGCTGCTGGGATTCATAGCTCTGTGCTGCAAGAGAACATTGTGCTGGAACACATTTTCTTATGTAAAGACTTAATGTAAAGCTAACATCTCTTGAGAACACCCCACGTTGTCTTTCACACAGTGTTTTACTTCTGCTTTGTGTTGCTACTGCATGGAGGACATGATACAGTTTGAGGCTTTAAACTCTTTAGACTTAATCATTCCAAGTATTTCTTGAGCAGTCCACCTCAGAAAAGGTATTTTGACAAGTTAACTGGGGGAAGAATTCCTAACTGCAATTTGTGTTCTTCATTTAGGGCGAACCAGTGGCTCAGCCCTGCTCCAAATGAAGTGAGCTATCAGCAGGGTGTTCTGCCAGGGCTTTAAGGATGTCTCCATCAGCATGGTAAAAACTCTCAGCTGAGGGGTGCTGACTATCTTACAAATATGAAGGTGTCCTATGTGGTAGTTAAGTGGTTTAAGGGTTCATATACACTAAGCATCAAAGGGGAAGGGCAAAATTATGCAGATTTGCATTGTCAAGGTATGCTTGGTTTCGGAGAATGTCCTGTTGGTGATCAGTTATTTTTATGTTAGAACTGAAAAGAAAGTCGGATGCTGAGAAGCTGAGCAAACAGTGTTAGGTACTTCACTACAAGAATGTGCAATAAGGAAGCTGCAGGATGCATGGTAATGGCGTTGTACAGTTACATACCTACTGACTTGCTCCACCAAGCTTGACTTTATTTCAGAACACTATCAGAATCACTTTAAACACTGACTGAATGAGATGCTGAGTTAGTACAAAATAGGAGGTACTGCTCTCCAAAGTGACAAATGTGTATCATTCTGGTGTGCAGAGATGGGTTTCCGTATGCCATGCCTAAGCCACTCGTATTCCAAAGGTTGGTACGTAGATGTTTGATGCTAAATGAGTTGCAAGAGAGATGATGAGTTAGAATTGTGTTATTGCAATTAAACTTTCTCTGTACTTTTACCAGTCCATTACAGAATACCAGCGTGAGTTGGGAGATCTCTGCAATGTTGCCTCAATCAAGATTTCCTGAAGTTGCTTCAGACAATAATCAAATATGTTCAGATGTGCATGCCTATAAAATGCTTTACAGTCACGATACAGTAATATACTTTACATTGATAACCTATGTCGGGACACACAGCAGAAAGCACTGTGATTGTGAGACATGCTTTTGAAGTGATGTTTATACTGCACTTGGGGATCAGTTGCCAAATAATGCTATTTCAGTAGAATTATGTTGGTATTTATGATGCCGTTTGCTATACAAAGTGGAGGATGAAAAATTAGGTGTATGATTTAAACTATCAATGTTACTTCCGGCATGAGGGATCCAAAGAGGACAGTTGGAGGAGCCTGTGATGAAGAGAAGCCAAGAGTATCTTTGGTTTCTATAATTAGAAGAACATTAGCAGCCTTGATCTGTCTCTCTTTAGAAGAGACAATATAAAATATACAGTACTAGAGAGCTTCAGTCTCACCCCACACACACATACACCTGGTACTGGTGGCTCCATCTTACGTAACTTTTAATCTAGATTTCCTAGCTGCATTTCCCAATAGATACAAAAGTTTTGTAAATTGGAACAAACTTCATCCAATTAAACTTTCTGCACCATCAGCACCATAAAGAAGTGTTTTCCTTACTCTTTAAGTAATAAATCCATCTGTATCTCTGCACTTCATGAAGGACATACCATGGACCTGTAATTATATATAGCGTATATAAAAGGTGTTACATTACATGTACAGTACTTGCAGTTTGCCTTTGCATGGGCTGCAGAAAAAGGCAAGTATTGGCTGTGTTTGAAGTGCTATCATGTGCTCAGCAAGCCAACCATCAAGTGGATTCAGGACAAACTGCTGAAGGGGGCAAACCTGGTTGACATTTTCACAGTACAAAGCCACCAGCTCCTATGGCATGTTCCCCAGGCTTGGCTGGCAAGCAAGTGATCTCCATTGGTGACTGCATATTAAGTAGTAGATGGGTAAATTGGCAGAGGATGTGACACTATGAGAAAGTCGAGTGCTTTTCTTAGCATAGAAAAAAATAATATGGGTGAGACTGGAAGTTTCTGTAAAGCTCTGTGGCAAACCTCCACCTGCGGTGAACACCGGTGAGGAGAACTGGATGGCATGCCCTGGGGTTTGGTCAAGAGTCCAGCAAACTTGGAAGAGAGCAGGAAAAGAGGAATAACTCCATAGATATTCAAAGTAACGATGGTGATGCTGTTCAGTTGCTTTAAAGTTGGTGATTGCTCAAAGCTCAGGTTTTTGGTGCATATGGCTTAATGTGCTAAAGAACAAAGCGCACCTGGGGGAAAGACTAAGCCGGCCCCCAAGTGAAGTGGTGAGTTACTGTTTGAAGCTGGACTAGCATCGAAAAATAGGAAACTGGGAAGTGTTTTCTGTGAAAGTTACAGGCAGTAATAAATTACAATTATGGAAGATGTGTTGTTTTAATTCCTCTTGACTGTACTTAAAAATCAGTGTTGGTTCTCAGTAGGATGGAAGAAAATGATTTATCACTAGACTGAGATTGTTAATAAAAGACAAAATGATCATGACTTCTACTAGATATAAGTAAGAAAAAAATCCAAACAAATATGTAAACAAAACATGCCTGATGAGCAAAACTGGAGGGAATATCTGCATTCTTCTACATTAAAAAAAAAAAAAAG